ATGCAATAAATAAAATACCGCCTGTAGCCAAGAAATTCTGTTGACCTAAAATTATTTTCTCTAAAGCAAATAGGAAATGCAACTAACAAGCATTCACACCTCTTAATAACAGGGAAGAATGGGCAGAGACAGATTTTTATTTACTTTACACTCAAGGCTAGATGTTCAGTTTTTAGCAATTCAAATCTGAGCAACTCAATTTCACAAAGTTTTCTCTGGTTTATGCATTAGCACAGTGCTTCAGTATTTGTTTAAACAAATGCTACAGAGTTGAGTGCTAGACAAAAATATACTCCTCAAAAAAAAAAAAAAGTTGTGTATGAAGCAACTTCTCAGAATCTCATCACATTTTTAGTTGTTAATACCATAAAATCCAGGAGCATGACCCTCAATAAACTTTTCTTCAATAACCAGATCTGATCAGTTAAATACTTAAGAGTTCAGACAGCACCCAGGTTTTACAGTAGCCCTTTCTATTCACCTTTAAAAAAGGCTTCATCTTGTTTCTGCCCTGCAACAGGATCCATCAAACAATATGAGAAACAAACAGTGTAAGAGCTACCATCATTTTGAAATCAACCTTTTCCCCCTTGAAATTTAACAATACTAAGCTACTTTCATTATGATTTTTTTTTTAAGTTGGTTATTAAAGCAAAAAGAAAAGATTAGAAAAGGAAAACGTCAGACCCAATTTTCTACTAACTGCCAATGCTGTGCAGAAGATACAGATCTGAGGTCATTTGCTGCAGAAGTTTTATTATCAGTGATTGAAACCCGTTATCAAATCAACACAAATGATGTCTGGCTCAGTAAACAGGCTAGTAAGAATTGACATGAAGTGATAGCAGGGTAGTAACTCAGAACTATTAAATCAGATCATCAGGAAAGGCAGTGAAGCATATTTCTCTTAACACAGGTATTTCCAGTCTGGCCAGTTCATTACATATCAAGCAGGATTTGAACCCAAGGAATACAATTATGAACCATTATCTGTAACAAAGCACTGCACTAGCACTTTTCTTTTGCTGAGCATATGTCGTCTAGTGTGATAAGTCACAGGTGCTTTGAATATACCTCTGCCTCAATTCACTACTTACACAGGAGCTCTATGAATGAGTAGCAGCAACTGACAAAGACGATAGAGGTTTTTCCCCATCATTATTTGTAGCATTGGCAAAAAAAAAAAAAAACAAAAAAACACACTCACAACACAATATTTTCCCACTGCACAGGATGCTTTTAAGACACTTTTGCAGCTGTTTCATTAACCACAGCATTTTACAGAGAGCCAAGATAAATCAGGAAGAAGCTTATTGAATTCCAGATGGATAGAATTCCACAGGTGTTTTGTCATCATTGCCCAGGTTTTTAAAGACAGAACACTGTAGAGTTAACAAATTACCAACATACAATTTAGGACTACATTTCCATTTAATCTCTTCAAAGAGAAGAAAAACAAAATACATTAGAATACTAGAGAATGTCTAGTTCTGATTTTGACCCGTCAAAGCTTAAACCTTTCTTTCTACCTATTAGAAGCATTGCAACCAGTGCATTCACAAACATGATTTAGGTTTATTGCTATGATGTTTTGAGTGAGTAAATGAACACTGCATTATCAGTGAACAAAAATACTCGCATCCATATTGGAAACTTGTGTTCACATTAAAGTCCACCAGTAACTGGAGCAAAGAAAACTACTTCCACCTGATTTTTAAGCACCACAAAAATATCCACTCAGAACAGAAAAATATCAGCTCACTTTGTGGTTCTTGTCAAATACAGACACATGAGCAGAAAACATTTTGAACTAGACTTTCAAACTTATCTTATGAATCAAACGCCAGTAGATGCTACAGGACCATGTTCTATTTCTTCCATGTACAAAAACTAAAGACTAAAAAGTGAGATTTGTAGAACACACAAATAAGTGCAAGTTAGTTTCTTCTGATTCTTGAATACAACTGGTTGAACTGTGTATCTTATTAAGTATGTATGTTTTGTTCCCCCTCCCAGCAAGAAGCTACACTGCCCTTCGCCCTCTTCACACTGGTACTGCACTCTTCTCAGAGCACATTATCTCATGTACTTCAACTCACATTCAGTTGCAGCTTTCTCCCACCTCAACATTTGTTCTCATGCCTGCTCCACATTGTTCCTAAGACAACTTCTCTGTTCAGCTAAAGCCAAATTTTATCATCTTTCATTTGTAGTATGGTTGTTGTCCTTAGCTGACCTCACAACACCCTTCTCCTAAGATTTACGTGGGAAGCTGAATTTGACATGTTATAGCTTTCTTTTATGCTTTCTAGACTACACTCCCTCAGATAAGAACTGCCTTATAAGACATCACATACATCTCAGTGAGCCTGGAGGTGGAACCTCACTAACAAGTTGGGCTACTTGAGCCAGCTTAATTTAAGTCACCCCCTAAGGCTTCTGTGTAATTTTTAACATATATCAGAGGAAGAACTCATTTTAACTCACTAGTCAAGCAACAGGATTGAGTACCTGTGACCACAAGAAAAATCCCTCCATGATTTGAGAAAATTCCTTATGTTCTAAAAATAGAAAAATTCAAACAAGTCCTATCCATGAATGTGGTGGAGTTAATAAAAGTCTTCCCATGCACATTAATCTACAATTAGTTCTAAAAATCTTCTACAAAAACCCTGTTGTCTAACTTAGGCTCCAGACTGCTCATTAAATAGATACAAAACATAAAAGCAGTCTTTGAAATGTGCATTTTTAGAAATTGATATTCTAATATTAAGGCCAGGCTGATGTCCAAAAGGAGCTAACTGTGACAAAAAAAACTATCACTTATAGATGATGGGATGTGCTGAGATCAGCAGGAAATAAAAGGGTACCTTCAGCACACAGTAGGGAAAGAAGTGAAGATTCTTGCTCATCACTGCTTTCCACTTAATTGTTTTACCTCCCACAGGAAAGGGGATTAACCTGGAGTTTCTCCACAGCATGATACGTGCATTTAACTTTTGAATTACAGAACATCTGCTATACATTGCTTAGACAGTAGCATACAAAGGTAAAATGGTGGCAGAATAGAAACTTGCATGAGGAGCCACTTCTCCCTCCAGACTGTAGAAGCACAGTTCTGACAACACTCCTTGGTTGTCCACTATTTTTGAAGTTGAATGATAGCACAGCCACATCGAAAATGTTGCAGAGTAGTGCAAAGATGGATGACCTGATTTGACCAATTAATTTCAATCATTCAAACACTTCCTTCCCCCTCCGCTATTTTTAATGCTTGATGCCTTCCACTGCGAGAGCACAACTTCTCAATAAGTGGCTATAACCTACTCACATAACAAGGAAAGTCTATTGTTTGGCTGAATCACCAGGTAAATATTTTTTGCTGTCAATCTTAACATAATGGAGCACCATAGTACCAGGCAATTACACAGCCTACTTTAAACCATTTGCTACTGTATTGAGTGAACCTGTAATGAAAACACTTCAAATATTACAACATTGAGGAGGGAACCTTCAATTCCAAAACTAAATTATGCTTCAGGAATCACATGTACTTCAAAACATGTATTTTTAAAACATCAAAACTCTGCAAAACCTGTTTGTGCAGGTATTTATTCAGGCTGTTGATTGCTTAGAATTAAGGTAAGAAAGATTCTTAAGAGCAACTTAAATTTGAATAAGATTACTATACAGCTTTGAAGTAATCAACGTGAAAGTAAACAACTTGAAAGTTGTGTGGTCCTGACTGAAATTAAGTTTCCATTCAATTAAAAACAAACAGTAGAACCAATATATCACAGCTTCATATCCTCAACATCTATTTTAAATGCTTACTTTCAAAGCAGTTGACCTCTTGGGCAGGACAATTCTGCTTCCTTCCAGCTTTTTTTTTTTTTTTAAATGAAAAATTGTTGTAAGAATCTTCCTTATATTTGTATCAGTGTTCACACCACCCCCTAGTGAGTACTGAATTACATTTAACATGGCTTCTCCAGTTTCCAACAGGTAAGGAGAACTGCTGTTCCAGTTAATACCTTCAAGCTATTTAGGTTGAACTCCACCCCTTATATGAATAATACTTGCTGCATATCTTTGCCAATGTCTGCAAGTCAGAAATTTACTCTCACTTGCTTAAAACACTCCAATGGATCGGAGAGTTCATCATACATATACTATGTAGCAACACAAACCTCATTTTTAATAAGCTTACAACAAATCTTCAGATTTTAATTTGCATATACCTTTTTGAAGAACTTCTAAAAATAATCCCACTAGTTCAACTAAAGGCATTAGAATAGATTGTTTCATCCATACCTACCAGATCTCATATGGAATTTACTGGAACATTAGTATTCTCTTCCAATCACTCTGACTCAAGGACTGCTTCCCCTCCTTGGCCTCCAAACACGATTCATCTTGCATGTATTACAATCTTCTACCTCAGTACATGCAGTATAATTTTTTTTTTTTTTAAATGCGCTTAAACTAAGATTGGATTAGAGGGTTCTTAAACAACTCCTTTAACACTTCCAGAGAAATTAAAGGTGCACTTCACAGTTCACAGAGCAGAGCCCCCACAGTCTACCCTGAAAACCCAGGAATGAAGAGCTAGTTGTACTAGACTCTCATATTAATTAAAATCTCAACTGTAAAGTATTCAGCTTTGAATGTCTCTGCTGATACAATTGTCTTCTGTCCACTCCACGGGTAGAACATATACAGGCCATCAAACGAGCATATTTTGAAAGGGCTCTTGAAACCAGACTGAGCACCACAAGACAAAAAAGTATGCCTACCTCCACTGAACAGATACTGCCTGTTCAAACTTGTAAACTATTCACCATAGAAAGCTTTGATTCATATTTCAGGTTGATACTCAAAACAAAAAGATGCTTAATTACGAAATGACTTTAATATAGTGCAAATAGCACACCAATATTAAAGTTCCCAAGCTTTACAAGATCGTAATTATTAAATCAAAACTAATGGGCAAACCAGGATTTGACTGACATAGTTTATTTAATGTTAAAGCCAGATGAACAGCTTCTTTCCAGAGCAGTTCTTCCCATACTTCTTGATGGAATTAAGTAGCCTGTAAAGAAAGAGAAAGGTCAGCTCCAGAAGATTACAACAGATCCCATACTCACACATTTATGGGGTCTGAATAACTTCTTTCCAAATATTACTCTCCTTAGAAAAAACATAAGGTTCAAAGCTTCACAATATAATCATGGGAATGAGCCTAGATAACAGCACTTCTCTAGAGGAGCTCAATCTGGAATTGCTTTACCAACCTCCTGCTCAAGACATTATATTCACTGTATCAGCCCCCAGGCAGTTACTTTAAAAATGAGCCATTTATAGCATCTGTAATAAAACCACACTTAGATCTGCAATGGTTACTGCCCACAGCATATCTATTTTACTTGTTCCTGCAGCAAAAACACAAAAACAAAGTCTAGCACTTGTCTGAAGTAATATCAGGCATCTACTTAAGTATCACTAAGACAGAATTGTTTCCAAAGCTGAAGTTACATAAATCCAAACAGCCTCAGAAAATACAAAGCTATCCTATCCTTATCATATTTTAACTTAGTTTCACTGCAAGTTCAATGAACAGTAAATCAGAACTTGGCCCAACCTATAAAACTTCAGATTATCTATTAGCCAGGTATTTCATGCAAGTTCAAGAAACAAATAATCAACTAGTAGTAAGCAGAATAGTGATCTGTAAACATTTCAGTCTCCCTCATACTGATATAGAACAACATGCAAATACCAGTCCTCACATTAAACTTCACCAGCATTAAACTTACATCATAGTATAACTACAGGCTATCTAATGTCTACTTTTAGAAAGTATCCCCCTCAAGTCATACCTGTTATCCATTTTCCACACCTGAAGTACATCCAGTTACTGAAAAAGAAAAACATTTGATGAGAATAGTTTTATTAATGTTCTACTACTGTAAATGACACAGACTTGAAAAGACAATTTGCTTTTTCCGGTTACCACAATTACATGTGACAGGAAAACCTCTGAATTTTTATTACCATAAAAGCTAAACACTTGGATTTCATGCATTCCCTCAAGCTTAAAATGGAATCTAACAAAGACTGTACAGAGCTTAAGTAACTCTCAGGATGCAATTACCTATTCACTTATAGCTGAAGGCTACATTGGTTTTAAGTACTCATCCATCCACATTACTGTTTGATCATGTTTAAAAAAACTAAACATTTCTGTTAAAAAATCCACATGCCAAAACCTGTCAAAATGGCTTGGCGTTAGAAGCCATGGGGTTTTATCCTTAAAAAAATGTTACTTTCCTGAAGAGGTCTAATCAAGTGCCTAAAAACTTCTGATTTAAACAATTCTCACAGACCACATAGGTGGACACTAAAATTTCATGATTCCTAATGAAAATGCAGACAGCTGTGAATAAGGATATTATGGCACAATTATGTATAAGCATGCATTCTACAAGACAAAGCTTTAAGGCAGGAGTGTATTCTGCAATTCCTTTCTGTGATACAACAATTTTCCCCAAACAGATTTTCCAGAAGGCATGTTAATTAATTTGTCCTTAGTTATTAACACATGGACAAGGATCAACAAAGATGGCCAAACAAAGAACAAGATCTTAACTATGCATACCCAAATGATACCTAAAGATAATTTTAAAGGACATCAAAAAACTCTTACACCAAAATGCTGTCCCCTTACTACTAAGAAGGCATGCTAGTTTGACAAGCATTTGATAAATATGCCACATTTGCTGCGTAATTATCACAGCACACATCCCTACTCCTGATCTCAAAAATGCTCATAGAGTTAAGGAGATTTTAAATGAACTGGAAAACTTTAACTCAAATAACAGTTAACAAGTGTAAAAATACAAGACTGTTTACAGCTACCTTCAAGTGCCAAAACTCCTCAAGGGAATTTCCCATACCAGGTATCAGTGCAGCACTGACTCCCCTCAGCATTCACAATAGATGCATGCTAATGTTACAACTGCCGTAAAGGATATTTCGTACCTTCCTACTTTAAACAATGTATGACTTCACTATTCAGCCAGCATTGAAATGAAAAGATGAAAAACATTCCAGATCACAGCTAATAGCATCCTCATCTATCCAGTGACTGCAAGAACTTCATTTATACAAAACAAAATTCCAGAGCAGCTTAGAATAGTTAGAAGTTTAATGCTGACAACAGAAGCAGTTTACAACTACTGGCCCACCTCCACTAAGCTGTTTTGTGACTTAAGTCTTCATAAAGATGCACAGGTATTTTTGTCTTAAGGTCAAGTTACACATGCAATTACACTACACTATTCCAAACCAGAATTTTGAACAAATGTATCAAAAGCAATGAGTTGTCCTGCCTTCTTCTTACTGGAAACTCCACATTTTCCATGTCACTTCACTAGCTCAGAACAAACTTTACTATACAGTCATCTGAACCTGTACAAGATAGAAGTTCAAAGCTAGCATATAAGCATGCAAGGGAGTACAGTGCTTCAATGTGACATGATTAAAAAAAGTGTTTCAGTGATGTATAGTTCAGTCACATCCATGCTCATTTTCAGTACCTGCTAGATACTTCATTTCTGATGGAGAATCCCAAGAAAGTAGGAAAAAAAGCAGAAGTGAAGATTACTGAAGTTCAAGATGTTAAAGCAATTTAACAGTTACAGATCTATGCAATAAACCCAACAACCTCTTCTTATTCAAATGCAGTTGCAAAACCCACTTAGCAGCACAAGCCTACTCAGTGTTATCTAAAGTGCAAGAAGCTGCTAGGCAAAGTGACCATCTTCATACTGTTTTCTCCTCAGTTTTGATGATTTTGCCTCATCATAAAGGAACTCTGTCTCTTCTCAAACTGCATGCTTTCTAGATTTGTACTGACTTGCAGCCCACAGCATAGAAAGCTCCCAGCAGCAAGAAAACCCAGTTGTTAATCAGCCCCTTAGAACCAATATAAAGCAATTATTGTTTCTTATTTCTACTTACAGTCTTCACCACCTACAACAAATCCTTAAAACTTAAAAGAATACTAACTTAATAGAATACATGTTAGATATTTAGGTAGTCTGAGTAACTAGTATTAAGTAGAGTAATTTGTACACAGTATTACTGAGTTATGAGATTAGAGCATTACTGTTAGGTTTAAGAAAGCTTAACTTTAGTTCAAGTGACATGTAAGAAACAATCATTTAAGAAGCACTGCCTCATGTTTTATCAGCTGCAGCAGTGAGGAGCAGAACTAAGCTATGGAGCTAACAAGCTATACATGACCACACAGATTACCTTCTGTGATCCAGTAGAACAGGTAAAAGAAATGGAAGAAAGACAAGGTTATTCTATTGAATAACTTCTTATTAACATTTCAATAATAACATGCCAACTCTAGCCTACAGATAAGCTCATCATACCTTCTTGCCAGCACCAACATTTGCCTTAGCTGTACCCCTGACTTTCTTCATTCTGTTCTTACGTTCCTTCCGCTGCTTCCTAGAAGTCTTCTTCTTCTCATACAAACCATGCTAATAAAAAAACAGTTGTATTCAATATCTGTTCAGTGGTAGTAACCAAAGTTTTCATTCTAAGAAATACAATTGTTTTAGTATTGCTAGACTTTCCAAGTACTGTTTCAATGAAATAACAGCTAAAGAGCAAGACAATTTCATTAACAGATGATAAAATAAAGGAAACTAAGATCTTGCAAGGACCAGCCCCATTGTGTATGGTTACAGAGTTTTAGCAATGGATAAGGAATCCTTCTTTGCAGAAGATCACAAGTAATATCAGTTTTGCCATCCCAATTCTACCTTATTATTATACCTAATTATACCAGAAGCAATCTATTTTTCCAATGCAAAAGCTAATCCATACTATGTTAAGACCTCTTACATAACACTAAATTCCCTATGCACAGCAATACCCCCACAAGACTACAGGTATGTTGCTTGCTTTTTTTTCCACATGAAAATGAACTACTAAACACTTGAAAGTCATCCAAATTATTTTCTAGTTACTGTGGAACAAATAACTCACTCTGGCAAGTCTGTGTTTTGGTTCATTTTTCTTTGCATAGTCCAAGGAATCGTAGATCATGCCAAAGCCTGTTGTCTTGCCACCACCAAAGTGAGTTCTGAAGCCAAATACGAATATTACATCAGGGGTTGTCTTGTACATTTTCGCCAGCTTTTCCCTGATTTCTGTTTTGGGGACTGTGGCCTTCCCAGGATGAAGAACATCAATCACCTAAAAAATTTTTTTATAAGTCATATAAAAGCCAAAGACAGTCAACACCCAATAAAACAACTGGACTCCCACCCTAAACTCAAAACCTGAACTAGGCCATCCTAGCAATACAAAGCATCACTAATCTAATCCTAACAGTTTCCTGCTTCAAATCACAGTTCAGCTTGCTATCCCATCACGACGATTTACCTTCAGCATGCAGGAATGTGTATAAACCTCTACACACCTGATAATGTTAACACTTCTAAGGCCCCTTGCTTATAATGATTTAAAATACATGCAGTCAAGAACCAATAAACAACTGAAGATAGTATTGAGCGTTTTTCTTACCATCTGCTTGCGCTGAAGCAGTCTGTTTGTCATGAACTTCCTAGTTCTTATGGTCACTGTGTCATTCTGCAAAACAGAGTACATAGAAGTGATACAAAACCATAGTTTACAAAGCCTAATGTGTATATGATGCATGACACCACTGCAGTCAGCGCTCTACTTGAAGTCAGCTGCATCTCAATTAAACACATTTGTCTCATGCTATAGGATTTACCCTACAGAACTAAAGTACACTGAAGAACAGTCACTCCCAGCCTATGGCAGAAGCCCACAGACAGAAGCATATACATCCCCTTTATTTTAACATGGGGAAATAGTTTTATTCAAACACATAGACTACAGAAAAGAAGCTCTAACAAACTCACAGAATTATCAGGGTTGGAAGGGACCTCAAAGATCACTGAGCCCAACTCTCTGTGAAAGTAAGTTCCCTACAGCAGATCACACAGGTAGACTTCCAGATAGGTCTTGATATCTCCAGATGTGGAGACTCCACAGCTTCTCTGAGCAGCCTGTTCCAGTGCCCTGCCACTCTGATAATACAGGAATTCTTCTTTGCGTTAGTACAGAATCTCCTATGCTCCAGTTGCTGCCCATTACCTCTTATCCTACTACTGCTCATCACTAAAAAAAACCTACCCCCCATCAACTCAATACTTTAGATATCTATAAACAGCAATGCATTGCCCTCTCAGCTTTCTCTCCTCCAGGAAGAAGATCTCAAGCCTCTCAGCCTTTCCTCATGCAGGAAACACTCCACACCTTTAATTATCTCCGGGCACTATAACAAGATAAGGATCCTTATGAAAGCTACACACTTTGTCCTGATAGGGCTTTTCAGATAGGAAGCACCAAAGAACTAAGATGCAAGTAAGACCCACAGCGCTCCACCGAGAAGCAGGGACACAGCACTTCGGTACCTCAGTGCCACCTGAGCCTACGGCCGCTCCCCCCGGCAGCATAGAGGCCGCCCAGCAGGCCCAACACACGCCCAGCCTCTCTCCCCACAGCTCCTAGCGGCATCAACCAGGCCGCAGGAATCCCGATTGTAAGCAGCACCGTCCCCCATCCGCCGCACGCCATACCCGCGCAGCCCCCTGCAGGCAAGCCAGCCCAGCAGGACGCTACTTCCCAGGAGGCTCTCGGAGCGCGGATGGCAGCACAGCAGAATGGATAGCACAACCCCAACAGCCCCACGCTCACCATCTTGTCGGCTCCCTCCGTGCCAGCGAACGAGAAAAGGAAGTGGCGCCGCCGCGCAGCCAATCATAAGGCGGCGCTGGGGGCCTTCAGCTGGGGGTGGGCCCATGAGCGAGCCTGGCTGTTCCAGTGCCGGAGCTGGGTAGAAAAAGTACGACCGTATTGGTGGGGCTTCGCGTGAGGGTTCTGTAGCTAAGTGGGGTACCTCAGTAGGCTCGCGCTGTGATCCGGTTCTGCTCGTTTGCCGATTTGTTCTGTCCTGCACCCGGTGAGGAAGACTGGGGAATACGGGACTGGCGCGGAACCTCGGCGCCCGCACCTGCGGGAGGCCGTGCGCTCTCTCCGACAGGGGGCGCTGTAGGAGGGCGCTGTGTCGCTCTCTCTATCCCTCTCTCCATCGCGTTCCCATCAATCTATGGTAGGCGGTCTGCTGCCGCTGTCGCCGCATGCAATCTCCGTGCCGCCGGCGCCATGGTGAAGGAGCAGTTCCGCGAGAGCGATGTGGCCAAGAAAATGTGAGCGGGACCGTGGCGCGGGAGGCAACTGAGACCGGGTGGCTGGAGGGGCCGTTGGGAAAAGCGGTGGTGTGAGCGGGGGGGCCGCGTGTGCGCAGTCAGCCCTGAATGACCCTGTGTGAACTCTCGCCTCCCAGAAGCCACATCTGCTTCGGGATGAAATCCCCAGAGGAGATGCGGCAGCAGGCCCACATCCAGGTGGTCAGCAAGAACCTGTACAGCCAGGACAACCACCACGCCCCGCTGCAGTATGGCGTGCTCGACCACCGCATGGTGAGGAGCCTCGGTTTCCTACAACGTCCCTTTTAGGGATTGGCATGAAATAGTTACAAATGATATATCTGAAGTTTACTATTCAAAGTACACACAAGTATATTTCTACTTCCACAATATAGGCTGTTAGTTGCAATGGCATCTGCAGCTTGACAATTTGGATAGCTCAGCAAAGTACTCTTGGGAGTTAGCAGACGAGATTTCTCTACCTGATTCTTAGAGACCCAGAAATATTCATCCACAAAACATGGAGCTGAGGTCTGTGGGCTGCAGATCAGGTGCCACATGGTTCAGTGGCACCTGCTGCATGGTTCAGTGTCTCTGCTGTTAGGAGGTGCTGCGTGGAAAACTTTTCTCGTCTTCTACTCTGCTCCAGTGGGACCACATCTGGAATACTGTGTCCCGTTCTGGGCCCAGTTCAAGAAAGATAGGGAACTTCTAGGGAGGGTCCAACAGGAAGCCACAGAAATGTTGAGGGTCCTGGAGCGTCTCCCTCCTGAGGACAGGCTGAGAGACATGAAACTGTTCAGCCTGGAAGAGAAGGGTGAGAGGGGATCTAATCAATATGCAGCACTAGGATAAGGGGCAATGAGAACAAACTGCAACACAGGAAGTTACATACAAATATGTAAAATAAATTCTTTACTGTAAGAGTGACAGTGCTCTGAAACAAGCTGCTTAGAGAGGTTGTGGAGTCTCCTTCTCTGGAGATATTCAATATCTATCAGAACTGCTGCCTACTAGACTGGCTGTAGAGAATCTGCTTTAGCAGGGAGTTGGACTCACTGATCTCCAGAGTTCCCTTCCAACCCTTGGGATTTTATGATGTGTATTTCATGAAGTGCCACTGACGTGCTTCTGTTACTGGGAAAAAAAGAGTGAGGGCTGTGGGTCTGCTATCAAGATAGTTGCCTAGCCTAAGGACTGTTCTGTCTTTTACATATTTAGCTGATTACAGCTAAAGCTTTATTCTGTGCATGTGTTCCTTTCCTTTCAAAGGGAACAAGTGAAAAAGATCGTCCCTGTGAAACCTGTGGAAAAAACCTGGCTGACTGTTTGGGACATTATGGGTACATTGACTTGGAACTGCCGTGTTTTCACGTTGGATACTTCAAAGCTGTAATTGGCATCTTGCAGGTAAACTTAATTTTCATTTGCTTTCAATATCTAGGCTGATAAAAGGAAATGATTAAAGAGAAATGAGATACTGAGATGATACAAGAGGTACTGCTTGAAAAACAGTCGCTCAGATGACAAATGTAAGATTGTGTTAAATATTTCATGCAATTTGTGTTTTGTAAATAAGTATGTTTAAGTATCAATTCTAGTAACGTAAATGCATCAGTGTTATTCTTTTTGATCCAAATAGATTAGAATCAAATCGTAGAATCATTAATCTGATATCTTTCTCTAGTTGTTTGAAGTAAATGTGTTTGGCATAACTTGCCTTTTAAGCCGTTCCAGTGAATCACAGCTCTGTTTGCTTTGTATTTTTTTTAAGTTCTGCAGAACTTAGACAATTTTTTTTCTGTATTTTTTTTCCCATGAACCTGGTTGTTTTTGTTGTTGTTGTTATGATATATGAATTCATCTTTCATCCAAGTCTACAGTATTTTGTTAAAAAAATCCTGTGTGCTAGTGAAGAACTCAGGTTGTGGTAGAAGTTACAACTCTGCATGTTGTGTTAAATGACTGTGCTTACGTGTTCACATTAAAGATGATCTGCAAAACCTGTTGCTGTATCATGCTGTCAGTAGAAGAAAAAAAACAGTTTTTGGATTACTTGAAGCGGCCAGGCCTTACATATCTTCAGAAGAGGGGGCTGAAAAAGAAGGTGTCTGAAAAGTGCCGGAAGAAAAACACTTGTCCTTACTGTGGTGCCTTTAATGGTGAGCACTGACATTAGCAGTTTTTCATAGTTCTTTACTGGTTTTTTATCCTTGTTCTTTCCACAGTTAATGGATATTTTCTCTGTCTACTCTTAAGAAACAGGTTGTTGCATTCTTTATACTAAGCAAAGTCTTATTGATATTTCACATACGTGGAAGTAGACATTGACCGAGTAACTTATTTTTTATGCATCTCTTCATTACAATGACCAATACTTAATACTTGAATAAGGTGTGTATTGAAAATGCTGAGTCACGGCCTGAAGCAGTGATTGAACACCTGGTGGGAAGGCAGGGCCAACTCAGGGGAACTCAGGTGCATGCAATGCAAATAAGTGACCAAAAGGGGTGGAAACAGGATCCACACCTTCCCAGACCTCATTTAAGGGTTGGCAGCAGAGGTAAGTCTATCTCTCTGGAAATCTTTGTGTATTTGAGGCCTTTTGAAGATGAGTAGTATCTTTTCTTTGTTTTTGTGCCTACAGCTGTTGTATTCAAGCAAGTTCTTGCTGCGGTCTGGGATCTTGCTGTTCTACTGCCTTTGCTATGTTTTCTATTGTGCTGCAAGGGCTAAAAATAGAAAGCCCTGTTTAACCATTTGCTTAAAATGTGGCAAGCTATCGTTGATGATTGGTACCTTATTTTGGAAGCATTTGTAAACTGTAATTCTGATCTTCATTTTTCATAATCCCATTAAATTGTTCTTCATAGTGTTAGATATGCTTGCTGTTTTCTGGAAGGGTGACTTGATTTTGAAGCAATTCTTTATGGTTTTTTTTGTTGCTGTTAAGTTTTTCTTTAAAACAACATTTTCTTGCAGGAACTGTGAAGAAGTGTGGTTTACTGAAAATAATACATGAAAAGTACAAAACCAATAAGAAAGTTGTAGATCCAATAGTATCCACTTTTTTGCAGTCCTTTGAAACTGCCATAGAACATAACAAAGAAGTAGAGCCCTTACTGGGAAGAGCTCAGGTGAGTTTTGTTATTACTTGAACTTTTTGCTGTTTTTTGTGCATGAAATAAAGTTTTTGAAAGGTTCTCAATGTAGCAGCTTATTGTAGACCAGTATTTTAAAAATGCTAAGGCACGTGAAGAATGTTTACTGTATTGTGACCATTACTTTGTTTATCAGTGTCTTGTGGTATGTACTTTTCTGCCTGTAGGTGAGGGGGTTGCTCTTAATATGTGAGAATTCAAGAAGCTTAAGAAAAAAAAAAAGTGGGGGGATGGAGGAGGTAGGACATGTAGATCCAAAGAAATGCTGTGTACCTCTAGATTTACTGTAGCTCTGAGTGGACTGTAATACGTAGAAATTTGTTTTCTTCAGAAGAATGTAATAATGATGAGGAGAGAAGAGACTTAATCAGCTGTTGTTTCATACAGCTTTGCATTGTGTGCAGTTGTTTCTTTTTGTTCTTGCTGAACTTGGAAGGTATCAGGGTAGATATATGCACAGCAAAAGTAATGAGCATCTGGAGTTTTTCATACTGCAGAAGTAGGTGTACTGGAAGAGAAACGAAATGTGTTTCTTGTCTTAGTTTTTTTTAAAGAAAAACTAGGAAGTACTGTAGTTCATCTCAGTTTCTGCTAATTAAGTAAGAAAAGTATTTTAAGTTTGTTGTAATGCCTCTATTACATTGCTTTAAGAAGTAACTATGCAATACTGTTAAAAAATACTGTTAAAAATAACTTAAATTAATGCTAATGAAGGAAGCCAACAAAAAATAGCAAGTATAAGAAACTATAAAGGTTGGTTCAGAATTAATAAACTAATTGTTGATTGTGTTTTTCTTGTGTGTTGATAGTGGTTTTCTATTTGTTCTTTTTAAATACTGATTGTTCAACAATAGAGTAGATGAAGGGAGTTGCAAATTGTTACATGATGGCTTGATTTTACCATTTTCTGTTTGATTTTGTAGGAAAATTTGAATCCATTAGTAGTATTGAACCTCTTCAAAAGAATCCCAGCAGAAGATATCCCTCTGCTTCTAATGAACCCAGAAGCAGGTAAGCCTTCAGATTTGATCCTCACAAGGCTTCTAGTGCCTCCACTGTGTATCAGACCCTCTGTCGTGAGTGACTTGAAGTCTGGCACCAACGAAGATGACTTGACAATGAAACTGACAGAGATCATTTTCCTCAATGATGTAATAAAAAAGGTGAGTCATCCTTCAAGCTCTCTGAGACTGTTACTTTCAAAATGTTTAGCACTGACTATAGCAAGTGGTTTTATATGTACTGCTACTCCCAGTCCTGCAAACAGTCTGTGTTGTACCACTGTGGTGTTTGGAATTCTATTGAAAGAAATCAAGTTGCTTCAAGTAGAGCTAGCTCTCTGGTTGCTTCTGGTATTGAATGTGCTAAAGAT